TGCTGCTGCTGCTGCTTTGCTGCTGCTGCTGCTTTGCTGCTGCTTTGCTGCTGCTTTGCTGCTGCTGCTGCTTGGCTGCTTGGCTGCTGCTTGTCTGCTGCTGCTGCTGCTTGTCTGCTGCTGCTGCTGCTTGTCTGCTGCTGCTTGTCTGCTGCTTGTCTGCTGCAGCTGCTGCTTGTCTGCTGCTGCTTGTCTGCTGCTTCTTGTCTGCTGCTGCTGCTGCCTGGCTGCTGCTGCCTGGCTGCTGCTTGTTTGCTGCTTGTCCGCTGCGGCTGCTGCTGCTGCTGCTGCTTGTCTGTTGCTGCTGCTGCTTGTCTGTTGCTGCTGCTGCTTGTTTGTTGCTGCTGCTGCTTGTCTGTTGCCTTACTGCTGCTTGTCTGCTGCTGCTGCTTGTCTGCTGCAGCTGCTGCTTGTCTGCTGCTGCTTCTCTGCTGCTTCTTGTCTGCTGCTTCTTGTCTGCTGCTGCTGCTGCTGCTTGGCTGCTTGGCTGCTGCTTGGCTGCTGCTTGGCTGCTGCTTGGCTGCTTGGCTGCTGCTGCTTGTCTTTGGCTGCTGCTTGGCTGCATCAAAAGAGTGGAGACATGTCATGGCGGAGCTGTGGCGGATGTACTTTGGTACCTCGTCCGCCACCTCGTCCGGTACCTCGTCCAAGCCACCCCTTCGTTTCCTGCTCTCCAATGGCTGCAGACCTATATATATATGGCAAGCACAGGTCTTTGCAGTACATGGCTCAGCCATCGAAGGCAGCTGCATAGGAAAGGGAATATTGCAAAATCCATTTGATGGTCGTGGCTTGACCATTTGCTTACTTGAGCATGTGTCTTGAACCCTATTTTTACCACAGCAGCAGCAGCAGCAGATTCAGGATTCCTTGCCGCAGCCTGATTTAGATCTTTCAGGCCGCGGCAAGGAATCCTGAATCAGGCTGCTGCCACAAATCCTCGACAGAGTCGGTTGCTGTGGTTGTGTAGGGATTCAAGACACATGCTCAAGTCAGCCAATGATCAAACCACAACCATCACGAAGCCACACTGGAGCATGCACATGGATTAGTATCAGTGCTTTGGGGAACCGTCACTTGGTGGAGTGGATCATACGGCGTCCCATGGTGAACTCAGTCAAGAAACATACCAATTCCTTCGTTTCCTGGTCATTGTTGGATGTGCGTCCACATGCTGGAATACAGTTTTCTGAGGCGTTCAAGTAAGATTAAACGATAGAAACAAACATAGTTTTATCGCTGCGTCCTGATGGTGATCTACATGTTTTTGCATTGACTTGTTTGACTTCCTGAATGCGCGGCGTCTCATGTGGAACTGGCGTGGTTTTTGAAATTGCTTTGACTTCTGCGGGCCGGTGTAACAGGTGCCTTACTAGTAGTAACAAAAAGCTATTGGAAACAAATTAAAAGGGAGTAGGTCAACGCTTCCCGTCTTGACCGATCGATCCCGCCGAGGAATGGCTTTAGAGAGGTCCGACGGATCGGCGAAGGCGTGAAGAAGAGTGGACAAGCATGCATGTGCTTGATACCTTATGTAACGCAATCATGAAGCACGTACATGATGTATCATGATTCATGATGTATCCTGTACAATACTGTATACTGAATATGTTTTTTCTTGCGCCCTTTGACAGCTGTGGAAGTGCGCTCAGCTGCAAAGAAGTCGACATGTGATGCTTCGCAGGTGCCTTTGGACAAGCTGTTTTGGTGGAGGATGAACAGGGCTCGA